GTCACTCCTTTGGATCCTCTAAAACTCTTACATCCCCCAACTGGGTTCCTTCAAACCCTAACAGAAAAGGGAGTCAAGTCTCCGACTCGCCGAGTCCCATGAACGACTCGCCGAGTCGATAACGTCCAGCTCTAATTCTTCGATTTCTGAAGTGCAACTATTGTCCAAATGATAGATCTATGCCCCTAAGATCAATCTAGCACGTAAAGTTACAAACTTTACGTGCATGCATGGGACTTTGAGCCTAAAATGCCCAAAAAGAAGCTCTTAAGATGCATGGAGCCTTCCATGGGTGCAAAAGCAACCCCTAACTGCCTTGTGACCCCTCCAAGGTCCTAGATTTGAAGCCTTGACCCCCAACCATGCTTGCAATCATGGTTGGTTACAAAATATGGCTTAAAAGCCCTAAATCTCCCCAAAAAGGGATCTAACAAAAGAACAAGCAAGGTATAGACTTTATACCTTCTGGAGACTGCAAATGATGAACCAACAAGGACTCCTTTGGTCTTCTCTTGATCCCTCTAAGTTCTTCCTTCTTCCTTGTGATCAAAACCACCAAAAATCACCACAAATGCCTTAGATCTTCACACACGCAATTAGGGTTCACTATGGAGGGTTTCTGGGAGCAAGAGGGACGAGTGGGGGCTGAATGAGATGACTAAATAGGGTGCAAACCCTCAGATTAGGGTTTTTGTCCAGACAGTGTCTACTCGTCGAGTCCGGCCGCCGACTCGACGAGTCCACCACTTAAACCCCGGGTCTAAACCGCTTCTACTCGACGAGTTGGGCCGCCAACTCGTCGAGTCCCAAGACAAAAATGCAAAATTCTTAAATAAAGGAAATACATACCAGGAACTAGGTGCTACAAGTTGTCTGCCTCCTAATAGTGTTATCCATAATGACCATGGGCTCAAATGAGTTAATGAGTTGTGTGAACTGATTCCAAGGACTTAAACGCAATAAGACCTCATACATTAACAACAACATACACATACACAACAAAATATAGCAACCAAGTTTGATACAAGTCAAATTAAATATAACGAACAATAAACAGTTTTTTTGACATGCTTTTCCACCCCAAAACATTTAAAACTGAAAATAGGGGGGAGTCGTGAATACTCACAATGATACGTGAAGGTATTTGTGAGGCCTTGAGCTAACATCCCTCACGTCCTACTACCGATTCTCTACAATAAGGTTACACACTAGTAATGATGGGTTTTGAGCATTCTAACACTCCTATGGTGTACATGCAACCCTATAAACCTTGGATTTTATGTTTTCTCTAATATTCATGCAAATATGAATTTTCCAAGGGTTACATCCTAACTAGAATGGCATGGGGTACTTGTAATATAAAACCTAGTAGAATGACATACCCTTGTAGTTGCTTGGATTCCTTAAGACTTTGTGAGCCTAGCACCTCAAATGTGATGCCTCAAATGTTTCACACAACACCTACAACTCTTGGAATAACTTGAGAGAAGAACACTTTGATCACAAAATCGGCTAGCCCTCCTTGTCTTGCAATAGTGGCCAATTTGCTAGCTATGGAGCTCTTTATATAGTGTGCCACATGTAGGGTTACACCATGTAAACCCTAATGTGCATGGCTTTTCATTTCCTCCATGATCCATGGGTTATAACCTCCATGGAGCATCCATGGAGCACCCAATGGGTCCTAGCCCAATCTAGTGAATCATGAACCAAAAGCCCACTATATAAGAATGAATGAATTACAAATCAATCCCCATATATTTAATTAGTCTCTTTTTGATCACAAAATTAATTCCAAATAAATTTTTGATCAATACTAATTAAATAATTTGATTTCATATTAATATATTAGAATTTATAATATATTAACAAATCGTAAGTGTCCTTTTCTCATTTTGTCTATCCAACAGTTGGGATGTCGATGCAACCCAAATGGACCATGCTAAGCCGGGTCAAGTACATACTAAATATAGTTATGGACTTAGACACCTTATCCAACAGTCTCCCACTTGGATAAGTCTAATAACTATAGTTACACGTATGACTTCAGGAACCGACCAGCAATTGTAGCTCTTTCAAAGTCTCACGGAACTGAGATGATGATGCGCCATTTAAGATAAGTGATCATATAACCCTCTGTTCTAGATATCAGCCGGACAAATACATGGACTAATGTCGTACTTATTGTCTAGCAGTTTGTTTCCCGATTTCCGATTTGTTTGAAATAGAACTAAACTGAACACATCAATTTGATTCTGATCGGGCCCGGTACATAGGTCAAAGCAAAATAATCGAGGGGCCCAAATATCGCTTTTAATCCTCCAAGGACTAGAAGGAACAGATAAACTTCGACTCATATGCTTGTTCTACTACTTGTTGAATCATACACAAAGGCACATTTTATAACATCGAGTTACCAATGCGTTTTCGTACAATCAATGTATAACCAACTCATATTCAACAACTCATATCTCTAGGTTTGAAGACTTATATGATATTACCGTCTCACGATCACTCGAGATAAATTCCATGAAGTGATACAAGTGAGCGTGGGTTGAATCCAATACTCAGAACTTATGAGCACTCATGAATGTTGTAGCAACCATTTGCTATGTCTAGCACCTTAGACATCTACAAACCCAATTCATGACAGTCTTTAATCATATCTACTTCCAAAATATGACTAATTGTGGAGAGTTTGAATAAAGAAATTATTCTGGAAGTCAAAACATGCAAAATTGAAACAATAGTAAATAATTGACACAAGATAGCAACACTTTACTTATAAATAAACAACAACTTTTATTTAATCATCAAATGTCAATTTACATTTTACAAGTTTCAGAAGTAACTATCTAATCTGTAAAACTAATATCATCCTTCAGCCCGATGCGCCTCGCATGCTGCAAATGCTTAACCCTACACAGTCCCTTCGTGAGGGGATCTGCTGGGTTCTCATCCAATGATACCCTCTTTATCACGAGGATTCCTTCTTCTATCCGATGTCTATCGAAATGGTATTTTCTGTCAATGTGCTTGGATCTCCCGTGATCCCTAGGTTCCTTAGCTAAGGCAACTGCACCCTCGTTGTCACAGAAAATCTCCATAGGCTCCTTAACAGCTGGTACAACTCCAAGGTCTCCAATGAAGTTCTTTAGCCATATAGCCTCATTTTCCGGCTCGCTTGCTGCTATGTACTCTGATTCGCAAGTTGAATCAGCCACTGTTTCTTGCTTGGAACTTTTCCAAGTAATTGCTCCTCCATTTAGGGTAAAGACCCAGCCCAACTGAGAGCGGAAATTATCCCTATCAGACTGGAAGCCAGCATCACTATACCCTACTACTCTCAAGTCATCACTCCTACCAAGGGTAAGGAACCAGTCCCTAGTCCTTCGTAGGTACTTGAGAATATTCTTCACCGCAGTCCAGTGAGCCTTTCCCGGATTCCCTTGATATCTGCTGACCATGCTCAAAGCAAATGCCACATTAGGGCGAGTACAAGTCATAGCATACATGATTGAGCCCATAACGGAAGCATATGGTACATGACTCATTTCAGCTATCTCAGCCTCTGTACTCGGACTCTGAGTCTTACTCAGTTTGGCGTTGCTCTGGATCGGTAAGTCACATTTCTTGGAATTCTGCATGCTGAACCTTTTCAGCACCTTATCTAAGTAGGTACTCTGACTAAGTCTAATTAGTCTCTTACTCCTTTCTCTCAATATCCTTATCCCTAGGATATAGGCAGCTTCTCCAAAGTCCTTCATAGCGAAACACTTCCCAAGTCAGGACTTAACCTCCTGCAAGGGATGTCATTTCCTATGAGTAGTATATCATCCACATGCAATACCAAAAAGCTAACTATACTTCCACTATCCTTAACATATACACAAGACTCATCTTCGCTCCTCGAAAAACCAAACTCTTTGACTTTCTCATCGAAACAAAGATTCCATCTGCGAGATGCTTGTTTCAATCCATAGATGGATTTCTCAAGCTTACACACTCTATTAGGGTGGTTTGCATCGACAAAACCCTATGGCTGACTCATGTAAACATCCTCAGCCAATTTTCCATTAAGGAAAACAGTTTTGACATCCATTTGCCATATTTCATAATCATGAAATGCAGTTATGGCCAACAAAACCCTAATAGACTTAATCTTTGCTACTGGTGAGAAGGTCTCATCATAGTCAACTCCCGGAGTTTGAGTAAAGCCCTTCGCAACCAGTCGCGCTTTATAAGTGTGTACATTTTCATCCATGTCGTTCTTCTTCTTGAAGATCCATTTGCACCCGACCGTCTTACAACCCGATACATTGTCAACCAAGTTCCAAACTTGATTGTCATACATGGACTGAATCTCGCTATCCATGGCCTCTTTCCATTTGGCGGACTCAGGGCCTGCCATGACTTCCTTAAAGTTGTTAGGCTCATCCAAATTTACCAGTGTCCTATCACTGATAAATTCATCACCTTCCGCAGTAATATGAAAACCATAGTAATGCTCAAGTGGATTCCTAACTCTTGTGGAACGCCTCAGAGGTACGGACTCATCAACAGGAGTTTCCTCCTCAGGTTGATCGCTAGGGTTTGAGGTTCCTTCACCACTTGACTCTTGAAGTTCTTCAAGGTCAATTTGCCTCCCACCGTTTCCTTGGCTTATGAATTCTCTCTCACGAAAGACCCCTCTTCTTGCCACAAAGACCACATTCTCACTGGGTCCGTAGAAGAGATAACCAAAGGAATTCTGTGGGTAGCCGATGAAAATACATCGTTCACTTCGAGGTTCGAGCTTTACCTGAGTCTCACATCTCACGAAAGCTTCGCAACCCCAAATCTTGATGTGGTCTAAATTGGGAACTTTCCCAGTCCACATCTCGTGAGGTGTTTTGGCAACCTTTTTGGTAGGGACTAGATTAAGGATATGGGCGGCAGTCTCCAAGGCATACCCCCAGAATGAGATTGGTAACGAAGCTCGACTCATCATGGAACGAACCATGTCCAACAAGGTTCGATTACGCCTCTCAGCCACACCATTAAGCTGTGGTGTTCTGGGAGGTGTCAATTGTGAAACAATTCCACATTCCTTAAGATAGTCAAGGAACTCTGTACTAAGATACTCTCCTCCTCGATCGGATCGGAGCATCTTAATGTTCCTGCCCAACTGATTCTCCACTTCCTGTTTAAACTCTTTGAACTTTTCAAAAGTTTCTGACTTATGCTTGATTAAGTATACATTACCATATCTACTATAATCATCAGTAAAAGTCACATAGAAGTGGTTAGCATCCCTTGTGGCGGTTCTGAAGGGTCCACACACATCTGTGTGTATGAGGTCCAACAAATCTTCACCCCTAGCACAAGTACCAGTGAAGGATGACTATGTCATTTTTCCAAACAAACAAGACTCGCAACTATCATCTGACTTTAAGTTAAATGACTCCAAGACTCCAGCCTTCTGCTGTTGGCCTATGCGCTTCTTGTTAACATGTCCAAGACGACAATGTCAATTGTTATCTTTATTATTGTTATTTTTTATAATAATAATAAATAAAACAATAATAATAATAATAATAATAATAATATGATTTAATTTACAAAAAAATCTCATCGACATTTATTATTATTATTATTATTATTATTATTATTATTTTTAAGGTTTGATCAGAAGTTTATCGGTCAAAAAATCAAATACATCCGGCTTGCCTGAATTGGCTAGGTTTCTGAACTCCCTCTTTTTTCTCAAGTTTCCCTCCACTCATCTTCTTCCTCTCTTACGTCGCCCCCTTCCCCTTCTTCTCCTTCTCCTTCCTGTGCCATCGCCTTCACCGGTCACCCTCGCCGCCATCGCTCGACCAATGCTCCGCCTCCCTGGAAAGCCTCATCGCCGCTGCCGCCACCGATTCAGGAAGACGATGCTCACCAAACCCTCACCGCTCCGCCTCGTCTCTCTCTCGATCACTCTCTCTCTCTCTCTCTATCTATTTTCTAATACTACAGGGGAAGACTTCGTCACCACCGCTCCACCACCGTAGGTCAGCAGCCATCATCCGCAGCCTTACGGAATTTCAGTCAGCAACCATCGTCATCCGGGATCCATCTCCGATCTCCCACCGCCGGCAGCCACTATCCATTTGGGTAAAGCATTCATCACTTAATATTCTTAAATATCGATTTTGTGACTATCAGACTTTGTCAAAGTGATAATCTTTGTGAGAATTGATAATTTTTTGTATTCTTTATGTAGTTGTTGGTTTTAGGATTTATCATTCGTGTTATTGTTGATTTTAGGTTGAGGGTTAAAGGGATTAGTGGTGAAGCTCGGAGGTCATGTCGGGACAAGTGCATAATGTAAGCTTACTGCAGTTTCTTCCTTTATGTTATTTTCTTACATTTAGGTTTCGTATGATGGAGTCAAGGAAGGATTTTTAGCGATTTGTGCATGTTCATATTTTCTAATATTTGTGGTGGAAAAAAGTTGGTAGCCAATTGTCCAAATCATAGGTTTAACTATAACTAATTAACTATAACAAAGTCCTTTCGTATCTAACAAGTTCTGTAAACAGACTGCTGCTGCATATATGATATATGAAACATGATATTCGTGGATTGGAAAATCAGGGTGTTGAATTTTGGAAACATTCCAGTAAGTACCCTGGCCTAAAGTTGACTTTTTGTTAAAATCTCTAGTAAACTTTTGTTTGACTGTTTAGTATTTACATATGTTATAGGGTGGTTTGGTGAAATATTGCTAGATGGAGATAGACTCTAGTAAACACAATAGATCATGCTTCCGCTAGTTGTTCTTGTAAGTTTTTGTCATTCCAATTTTGTTTCAAGATTTTCACGTGAAAATCTATTCAATATCTTCAATTCTATAAATAGGTTAATGAAGGGAGTTATATTGTGGTTTAAAAAGTGGACTTTTATTTTTCTAAAAAAAATCATTTTATTGACGAAAATATCTGTCACTAAATTAAGACTGAAATAGTATGTGGGTAATCCCCACTTTTCTAGTAGTTGTCCTCTATAATCCTTTAAAACGTCGGATTTGTCAAAAATCTATTTTTTTTAATGTTTTATAATTCTTTTTCATATTTCAAAATATCTTGTGTATCTGCAAGTACAAGTTTGACTTGTGTTTCATGTGTTTTTATTCTAAAAAAGTAAACACTTTGTGACCCTATTTGGCTTTGGATGTTAAAGTTCAAGTTAGTTGGCTGACAAAGTTTTTGCGATTTAGAAGGCAAGGGCAATATGGTCCATTTATTTATTTATTTATTTTTTACTTTTTCCAGTTTTTCAAAAATATATAAGTAAAAGAAAAAAACAGATTTGGGCAAATCTAATATTATAAAGGATTAAGGTCAAATACAATATTTAGGTATTATGTTGGACACATATATTTTGATGTTTAACAAGGACATGCAAAATTGTCTCAAAAGTAAAACAGGCCTCCAATAAAAATAAAAAACAGACGAATAAAAAATCAAAACACACCTGTATAAAAATAAAAGACACGTGTATAAAAAATCAAACCCAGTAAGAACACCAAGTTTTCTCTTTTTTGTCTGGCATCACACTGGCATATGCTTGGAAGATTTTGAGCTTGCGGAAAAAAAAGACATTTTTTTTTTGGATTTTAATTGGGTTTGTAGGAGGATCTTGGAAAATTTTCTAAGTGGGTGAAAGAAAGTTTCAAATGGAGACAGAGAGAAAATTATAAAAAGAAATGTCTGCAACTATTTGTTTATGTTGTTATTTGTGAGTAAAATAAATAGATTAACATCAGAGTTTTAAAACTGCAATGTTGTAATAGCTAAAATTGCATAGCAGTTTCTTTGGGAAAAAAAAACTGTGTAGTTATTAAATAATGACATTTGGAAAACTGGTATTAAATCGATTCAACACCAATTATTGAAATAAAGATATGAACTTACCTTACAATCAATATATAAATAGTTATTTAGCTATGATTCTTTAAAATGAGTATACGCATCCATCGCCCATTAGAAGGGGGCCGCATACAGTTTAAGTTGGTTGACTTCAGAGGTCAAAGCTGATCCTTCCTTATTGGGATGAAAACAAAAAAATTGCTTTAAAGCAAATTGGTAATTTTGCTATAATACGTAGATTTTTCAACAACAAAAGTTTGTTGCTATTTGTTGCTATAGTTATAGATTTATAAAAATGATAAGCTGTAATAGGAAAAATTGAAAGTATGATACTATAGTAAACATAGTATTCTTGAGTTTTAAAAGTCTAGCAAAAATGCATGTAATATCAAAGTGGAACTTTCCAATGAATTTAGCTAATGGTGAAACATATGAAAGTGAACTTTAAGTGTACTGTTGGTCTGGCCAAGTGGGTTATAATTAATACCAACAGAAAGAAACAAATCGAACTTTGGAGTACATGTTTTCCAATTGGTAGAGATATTTTTAGATGTTCTTGGTTATTATGAAATATTTATACGTGGATGAATCATTTGTTACCTGTTTTATACTTTTTTTTTATGCATTTTAGATGCTTTAAGGTTTAGAATATTTCTAAAGTTTTCATCTTCGACATTTTAAGCATGTAACCCAGAGAAACCATAATACAGCATTATCAATAGTGCATCTACTAGCTATGATGTAAAAGGAAAAGCAAATTCATAATTTATTTTATAACTAAAAATCGAAAGGAAAGATTGGAAAGTGAAACCAACTCAAGATTGGGTAGCTTCGAAGAAGGAATTATTCCACATACAACATTCTTATAAACTAAGGATATTATCATCAATCTTTGAAAGTGGAGGGGCGATAAACCAAAAAAAAAGGAAAATAAAAAGAAAACAATAATAATCAAAGTCTATTATCATCGCTATGTATAAATCGTTGCAAGTAATGGGAAAAGAAAGGATGGATTTAAGTGAGGCCAACATTATTTCAATGTATACTAACGGGTCTAATGATTCGAACAGTCAACCCTCAAAAGCCCAGAAATATTCAAAAGTCAAAATAGATTCAGTAATGAAATTGGATTTAAGAAGTAGAGTAAAAAAAATAGGATTCGAACACCGAACCTGTCTTTTTAAGATGACAAAAATCGATAATGATCTACAGATGCGAGAACTAAAGTTATTAGCAATTAACAAAACGTTACTGTTCATGCCTTGGTAATTTTTAGTAATTAGAGTTTGCAACCTTATTAGATGTGGCGGAAACTGAAGAAATGATTCAATGGGAAAAATGAATATATTTATATCCAATAACTGAAAACAAAACTATTGCACGAGTCATTGGAAATTATTAAGTAAATTTCATATATTCGCGTACCTTGTAGTCATAATTACCAACTTTAGCTTGTATTGATAGTGGTAGTGTCCTTTAGTGCTCCAAGAGCTTTTCACCAACTGTTTAATACAAAAGAATGATTTTAATTGGTGAAAATCGTAAGAACACGAAAGCTACCTAGAAAGTCCGAAGCTTGACGTTACCTTAAAATTGTGGAAGTTTGTTAGCGATAAAGTTTTATGACGATAAGGAGTGAGAAGGTTAAAAAATCTGACTGATTTACATGGATGATAAGGTAGCTTCTGAACCTTGGAAGCCTAAATTGCAACAATTAGCAACATGTTTTATTGTTTTTATTAGTATACGTAGTATAATTTATTTTTAGCTATTACGTAATGAAAATAGTTAACTTTTGATCATATTGTATAATCTCAAAGTAATAACTTGGTTTATGCTGCATGTTCAATATTTTATTAAGGTTGATTTTGAAATATGATCTTGATCTAAAAAAAGAGAAGAATATGCAATTTAAAAAATGTTGATTCCAAATTGTCAAAAAATTTGCCAAGCTCGCCAGTCGCCAGAGATATTAGTTTTTATAAATTGTCAAAAAAATGTTGATTCCACCATATATGTTGAGTTGGCGAAAATAGAGGCATATGCAATTAAAAAAAATATAGATGTATATTAAAATATAAGGCAAATAAATTTTAAATAATAATGTTTAAGTTTATATATAATACAAATGTAAGCAAAATTCGGCAATATTATTAGATCTATGTATTGACATTTAACTTGTTTATTAGTTACCTAAGTAAAAGACGTTTTTAAGCAAAATGACTTCATATCTATAAAAAGAAAAATGTTCAACAATTTATGTAAAACAAATAAAAAAATATCGTTATCATTATATGTTTCAGCCTTGTTTTAGGTAAATATATGGGTACTGATTATTCCGGCATTTTTTCATCCGAGGATGGAGTTGTTAAGTTTGTCATGATCTGGGAAAATCATGAAACAGTGGAAAGTGATGGTGGGGCTAGAGATCAATGGTGATGAGAAGGAATTAAGAACAATAAACACAAAGCAAACGAGTCTTCCGTTCTTATAAAAATTCTTCTGAATAGTTTTCTTTGTATATAACATTTTATGGGAATTTATTTGTAATGAGAATAAAATCCATCATGGGTGAGCAAATTGGTCTAAAAGAACCAGGTTCACAGTTGAAAGTCCTTTTGACTTTGAGAGAGATAAGATTCTATCTTTTATAGCAAGTGATTCTGCAACATTTCTACTGCAGATTCTTACTGCAACATTTTCAGGTTTTCCAATTTGACAATACGGAACTGATAACCGATTTAACCTAAATTGAAAAGTCTAGATTGATAGAACTGATAACCGAACTGTTTGATGACATACAATTTTGCTTTAATATAACAAATGTTAAAGCAAACCATCTAGAAGAAGAAAGCTCCACTTAATCAACGAACACTTTCTAGCTTCCTGCATGACATATCACATATTGACAGTTTTCAGGGTTGCTTAATAATGTACTCCATCTTCTTTATCTAAACCATTTATCGGCTGAATGATATCAATAGATGTTGTTTACATTGTTAGTTATTGTTTATGCAGTCATCTTCACGGGCTCCATAACATACGTGAAGATTATAATTCGACACACACAAAATCATATGATTTGAAGATTATCTTGGGATTTTTGGAAACCAATCATGTGCGTTAGCCTGTATATAGCGTCGAAGAAGGAAGATCGCAATGGTAAAGAGGGAGAACGGGGAATAAGGAAATATATCAACCCCTAAACTAAAATACGTTATATATTTAAATAAGGGGTATATATGTCCGTTAACTATAAAATGCCGTGGACGGATAAGAAAATTTTGTGGAAGTCATCATCCTAAATATATTTTGAGATACTTTTCATACGTCTTTCATTTCTTATTTGGATATATTAATACAATCTAACCTTGTTTTAATTAGCATAAACTAAAAGATATCAAAGATAAAAAAAAAAAAAAAAATAGGCTAACAAACTTTTGAATTTTTTCATATTAATTATTTAGTTTTTTTTACACTATTTACCGGTGAACTTAATTTTTGTGCTAAAAGAATACCATTACGATCGATTATTGCATGTCATTGGGTAATTTTTGAACACTAGAAATAAATTCAATAGTAAATTATGTACATAAAAAGAAAGGTGAGTAAATATGATAAAAGTAATTTTTGTTAATTCTTAATTCATTACCCCTTCTTGATCTATCATTTTAATTTTATTAAACAACTCTATTAATTGTAATTAAATCAGTGAAATACACATCACAATGATAGTTTTAAAAAGAAATACAAGATCATTTGATTTTATATTAAAAAGGATTTATAATTCAAAATGTGCAGAGAATACAATCCCTATATAGTTTCAAAATACTTCAAAAGATATTACGTCTAAAAGCAAAAAAAAGTTATTTTGTTTAAAGGAATGAGGAAGTAATCAACTCAATATCATCACATAGTTCAAATGTAACCAAACAACATGTGACCTTCAAAATTGTTATTGCTACATTCTAAACAACTCTTAAGTCTTCAATATGAGCACAAGTCAAAGTCCAAATATGAAAGTGTAATAACTCCTAAATAAAATGTAAAAACGAAATGATCCAAAGTCCAAATTGATTTAATAATCCAAATTATAAAATGAAAACGGTTTTGTATAATCAATATTCCATAATGAAGGTTTAACGGCCACGTAATCTAATGAATAAAGTTTAATAAGCTCATAATTCAAACAAAAGAAGCTTCAGACTCATGAATAATATACACAAAGCATCACCTTCAACTTTTGTCCAAAACCAAATACAATGATCACTCGTGAATAGTATGCACTAAGAGTCACTTATATATTTTTTTTCCAAAACCAAATAAAAAAAAAGAACTCATGAATAATATGCATTTTGCACAATTTTCAACTTTTGTCCAATAACATAAGGGAAAACTCCATAAAAATCTTTATGTTTTAGCCTCATAATCAATTTAGTCATTATATTGTAACACTCCAATTCAGGTATTTCCACAAAAGCCCTTGAAGTTATTTCTTATTGCATAAGAGGTCCCTTAAGTACGCTGGACGTACTATATATTAATGATCGCGGAGGGGAAGCACGTACGCTGGGCGTACGTGACGGATGTCCAAACCCTAATTTCCGGACTTGAGCCCTATATAAACGTCCCTATCTCATTTGAGCCTCACCTTAATCAGCATCTTTCACATTCAAACGTCCCTAAAAACCCTAGAATCACTTGAGAGTGTATTTTGAGCTTAAGGAGTGCATTTGTGGCCTTTCTAGTGTTCATTCAAGAAGAAGGAATTGCTAAGCAAGCTTGGAGTGACCTTGGGCTTCAAGAATCTGCATCTAGTTCACCTTGAGGAGCTTCTGGAGGTATAAAGCTCTTAACTTGCCTTCTTATTCTTTAGATCTAGTTAGGGTTTCCTTTATGGTCCCTTTTGTTAGTATTAGATCTCCTCTTGAGAGTTGAGCAACTCCAGAGGTTGAAATGGTTAGATCTGAGCCTTGTGAGCATTCTAGATGCATAAAGGTGCTAGCTTGGGGAGTATCTAGACTCCATGCAAGAGTTTGGAGCCTTTTATGAAGTCCCAATGTGAAGAATGAAGTTTTTAAGTCTCATAGAGCATGCAAGGGCATAAAGTTGCCAACTTTATGCCCTAGGACGTCTTAATAAGCTCAAATCTGGTTTTGGACGTAAGAACATCAAGTATTAAGCACCTAATGGAAGGAAGAGCTTAATCTGGTTGTACGCTGGGCGTAAGTTAGTGTATGCCAAGCGTACTCACAACAGTTGGACTTGGACTTGTTTTGGGCCTTTGAGCCTTTGGGCCTCAATTAGTCAATGGGTCTGGTCATATTTTAGGTTTAGTGGGTCAGCTTATATGCTTTGGTCCATGGATGTTATGGTTGGGCCTTATTGGGCCATGAGGCCCATTAATGATTTTAGATATGGACTTTAGGCCCATTAACTAAGGAAGACTTTTGGGCCATTGTGGAGGGACTTTGGGAATTGGGTTCCTCATTTAAGTGGGGTTTGATCCTAACATGAAATAATGCTATCATTGTTCAGTGCGGGTGGTTACAGACTGTTAGGAGAGTAGCTTTTGGATTCTTCGGACAGAGGTGAGTCTCCTCACCATACCAATGGGTCTAAGGCACCAAGGCCGGCCCATTTTATGATGTGTAGTATCCTAGCTGAGATTGTATTATGTGACATGTTAGTTGGTATGAGCTAGGAAGTATGCTATTGATATATGTGGTATGTTATATGGAAGACCATGGGAGAGCCCATGACACTTGGATGTAAGACCATGTGGAGAGCCCATGGCTTTCCTATCAAAGACCATAGGAGAGCCCATGACACTTAGGTGTAAGACCATGTGGAGAGCCCATGGCATCCTGGAGTAAGACCCTGGGGACGAGCCCACGGCATCCCTATCTGTTGTATGCATGGCTTATGTGATATGTATAGTTGTTATAGCTAGTATGATATGTTGTATGTAGTTTGTGTATGGTATGCTCTAGGGAACTCACTAAGCATTAGCCTACAGTTTGTGGATTTGTTTCAGGTACCTCTAAGCCCAAGGGCAAGGGCAAGGTTTGATGGCACAGCGTGCACTCTCACTTGGGCATTTTATGGGACACTTTGATATTTTGAAATAAAGTTGTAATTGATATGGTTTTGAAAACAATTGTAACTGGTTTTTGTGGATGATGAACATGCATTTTGGATAATTAAAAATGAAAAATTTCTTTTGAAAATTGGGTCGTTACAATTGGTATCAGAGCCTTGGTTTGAGGGATTCGGTCACACTCTCGGGCGTGTCAGGACTCAAACTAAGGAAATGGTAAAATTGTTTTCAAAAATAAAATAAAAGTTAAACCTTTTAAATAAAGGAAAATATGAGGGTGCAACGCGCGTGATCAGCCGAGCCAAGTAAGTAGTTCCCCAATGTGTTAGCCATGTTATACTGATATTTGAGCTTGATAATCATATGGAACTTGCTATGTGTATGCTTCTAAAATTGTATACGGTTAGGAGCTTATAGCATTAGAATGATTGATTTGGCCTTATTTCCTGTTCTTTGTATGGTTGTGGTCTTAGGGTAGAATCTTTTATTCGAAAGTCTAATTGATCCTTTTCTGTGTATAACTTGCATGCATAAAGGCAACCAGTTATGATTGGTCTGTTTGATGTGGGTAGAGCAAATCTTAGGATAGCCTGGGATTTGGGTTATGCGGTGGTTTGTGATATATGATTTACTTTGGGAAGAATTGGAGTTATCAGGTAGAGCTTTGGGGAAAGGTACATGTAGGTGTGGAAGGTAGTATTGGGCCCGTACTACTGAAAGCACAGGACCTGTACCCGAACTAATGCTAGATCTGACAGCTCTAAGGAGGACCAGTGTGGGAGGATCCCCTATATATATGTCCTAATTATTATGGTTTATGACATTTCAGTTCAGCATGGTGGTGACACGATTTGGGACAGGGGGATCAGGATCGGGATCTGGATCTGGATCGAGCAGCGGTACTGAGCCTATTGATGAGAGGCTGCGCGAGATCATCGCAGTCGAGGTTACGAAGGCCATCCTTGACGCTACCCCAGTGATCTTTGGGACGGTCAAGGAGGGGATTATGGAGATTATGGAGGAGAGGCTCAGGTCATTCAGAGCCGAGATTGCTGCGGCCACGTCGGGGCCCGAACTCCCTCGTTCCAGAGTTCAAGGCATGTGGAGCGCCAGAGTTTTTCGGGGTCAAGGACCCCATTGTTAGCCGACGTTGGGTGGCGGATATTGAGAACACCCATCGTACGAGTTCCTGCCCTGATGCGGCAAAGGTGGGTTTTGCTTCATGTATGCTACGAGACAGAGCTCGAGATTGGTGGGGGGAGGTGACCAGGCAGGTGGGAGCAGCCGGTGTGGCTGAGATGACGTGGGCCGAGTTCGTTCGACAATTCGATTCGGAGTTTGCACCACCTATTGAGGTGCAACGACTTGTGAGGGAGTTTCATGACCTTCAGCAGACCACCGAGACTGTGGCGGAGATCACCGCCAAGTTTTGGGAACGAGCTTTGTTGATTCCACAGTACGCTACGGATGAGGATATGAGACGGACGAGATATCATTCCATGCTGATGGATGATATCCAGGAGTTTGTGAGCT